CTGGGTTCAAATGTCAGTGGACATTATAGATATACGATAGGGACTGGGTTCACACGTCACTGGACATTTTAGATATACGATAGGGATTTGGTTAAAATGTCAGTGGACATTTTAGATATACGACAGAGACTGGGTTCAAATGTCAGAGGACATTTAAGATATTCGACAGCTAGGGACTGGGTTCAAATGTCACTAGACATTATAGATGTACGATAGGGACTGGGTTCACACGTCACTGGGCATTTTAGATATACGACAGGGACTGGGTTCAAATGTCAATGGACATTTTAGATATACGACAGGGACTGGGATCATTGTCAATGGACATTTTAGATATACGACAGGGACTGGGATCATTGTCAATGGACATTTTAGATATACGACAGGGACTAGGTTTAAATGTCAGTGGACATTTTAGATATACGACAGGAACTGGGTTCAGTAGTCAATGGACATTTTAGATATACGACAGGAACTGGGTTCAAATGTCAATGGACATTTTAGATATACGACAGGGACTGGGTTCAAATGTCAGTGGACATTATAGATATACGATATGGACTGGGTTCACACGTCAGTGGACATTTTAGATATACGACAGGGACTGGGTTCAAATGTCAGGGGACATTTTAGATATACGACAGGGACTGGGTTCAAATGTCAGTGTTTATTTTTAGACATACGACAAGGACTGGGTTCAAATGTCAATATACATTTTAGATATACGACATTGACTGGGTTCAAATGTCAGTGTGTATTTTAGATATACGACAAAGACTGGGTTCAAATATCTTCTGCAAGTTTAGTGTGATATTGCATACATGACGATCAAATACTTCGTGGTGTCAAACATATAACTTACGGAGTCATACTGCATGTATATGTTTCGAACTCCGCATTGTGCAACACGTAAATTAAAAAGATGGAAGGAAACAGCTTTGAAATGGATTATTATTTTAGAAAGAAGCTATTTCGAATAAACGGTATATTTTCCATCACTGATTATGTGATACCTAAAATGAAAATGTAACCTAAAAATCTGAAACACGATTTCATTATCTTCGTATCTTCGAACTCTTTCGGCAAACTTCGAAGACGTCATAGAATATTGTGACCTAAGGTCAACATACTAATAAAATGTACAAGTAAAAACTTTTTAAAAATCATTTTCGTAAATACATTTTTCATTTACTTTTTTTTTTTAATCAAAACAAAGGTAACCATAAATATACATTTAAACTGACTGAAAAAAATATCTCATCAAAAGTCATCTTGTCTTCTTTCCCTCATTATCAATACATGTGACTTGCCATCGGATGTTTATTTGTCAAGGGCAAAACGACGGGTCTCACTTATACCTTTATGACTGGATCTGCTTACTTATCAAGAGCACCTGTGTTTTCAACAGTCTTTTATTGGGTTCAGTTCTTCTCAATTTGGACTGTTGTTTATCTATTTGTCTTTTTTTTTTTGTTGATCATAATAAACCGCCTCCATTTTATCTTATAATTAGTAACGTGCTTTTTCGATTGCTGGAGGTCGAGGGTTCAATTACCGATAGTATTAAACCAACGACAATTGTTTGTTATTTGTTGCTTCTTCACTAAGTACGAGGCATATAGGAGTGCAAATAAACACTAAAGATATCGGGATCATAATACTGTGTCCGGGTAGGCTGCCATGTTTTCCTGTTGACTGCTGCTTTTAACTAGCACGTTATAAATTTGGATCACTGCGTCGGTTTAGTGCAAAACATGGTTCATATCCTTATTGCATCAACATGTTCTCATCCTGCATGAAATATTTGCCACTGAACGTCAAAAACCAATACACAATCCATTCATCGTTTTTCACGGTATTGTCCGTCCTCTCAACTGTATGTTTTAATAATCCTCACCTTTTTTGGTCCAAACCCAAGAAATTCGTTTAAAGAACTTAGTGTTGGTTATCGAACTTTGGTTGTCTCTCACTCTCTGTTGAATTTACACACGGGTCTGTGTGTTAAACTTGTTTTTTGTTGATAAGCACACGTGGAGATCTATATAAAAATAAGAAGTGGTACGATTGCCAATGATAAAACTCTCCACCAGACACCAAATGACGTAGAAGATTAGCAACTAACTATAGGTAATCGTATGTGTCTTTTCGGGTTTATATTGTGTGTTTTGCTTGTTATCTCAATAAAGGCTACTCGAATTATCCTTTTATTCATAATCAAACGAATTTACTATTCTGAATTAGAAATGAAGGCTGTATGGGAAAAACCAAAGGAAAAAAAAATCCAATAATACGCAAAATTTCCTATCGGAAAATTTCAATATCATTCTAGGTTACTTTCGTATGAAGACTTCCTTGAGAAATTTGTATATCGAGGTTCTCAAATAAACTCATCATAGATACCAGGATTAAAATTTTGTATTCCAGACGCGCGTTTCGTCTTTAAAAGACTCATCAGTGACACTCGAATCAAAACTTTTTTAAAAGGCCAAATAAAGTACAAAGTTGAAGAGCATTGAGGAACCAATATTCCAAAAAGGTTTTGCCAAATACAGCTAAGATACCCAACGGTTATTGTTTACGTTGCACCATACGACATTATAATATTAATCATCTCCAACATGGGCTATACATTAAATTTAATATTTTTCATAAATTATTTCAATATATGGCTTTACATTCCGCTATGTGAATCGTTAATCAAAAGCAATTCTTGGAAATCTTTCTAATAGATCACATTTTATTGAAAATGTTAACCGTTTTACGGATGCCACAATGATTTGTCGTTTAGAAATATCAATGCCATTGAAGTTTACGAAAAAAGTTCTATGTGGTATTCTGAATTCCGTTCTCAATTCAGTGCTGGCTTGTCAAATATGATTGAGACATCAAGTGTTAGAAAATGTGGTTTACTCTACAGTCTTTCGCTCTTTATTTGTTGGTTTTTCTTTTTAAATTGTATCTTTGATTTCATGTGAATAAAACGATTAATCCAAAGATAGATAAAGCATTTACTTTCATTAGTACCATCATTTGAAATTAATAAAGTTTACCATTACCATCAAATTCTTTTATTTGATTTCTTTACAGAATTGCCTCAATATTCATTTACGCAATCGGATATAATCTGGACTCACGATGTAAATCCAAAACAATATGATACATTAAATATGTGGTTCAATAAAAGTGACGTATTTGTGTTTATTATGCCTGGTTACATTAAATCCAAAAACTGAACAAACTAGGGAAGTTTAAAATTAAAAATTCGTAAAGGGTTGTCTCGCCTGCTTTTGCTGCTGTCAGAGTAAAAATGTTATGTTGAATGTCAAAATTTATATTTATAAGCTCGTTTATCAGTAAAATATTCGAACGGTTATTTTTAGATGTATTTTTTTTTTTATCTTCAACAAGCTTCTGTCCAAGTTTCATAAAGTTACTAATGTCGGAAATACCGGTATTTAATCCTAGATTAACTTAAGATTCATGCTTGAATAAATACCAAAGAGATATAAAATGAATTCTTATTTCAATTGGCAAAATAAAGGCTACGGCTCACAAATTTATCAAACCTTATCATAAATCAAGATGAAACATTAGCATGATCATGAATCACAAATGATCAAATTAACACATTAGCGTGGATCACTGTTGATCAGTTCTAACATTAGAATGAATCACGATTGATCAATCAAAACATTAGCATGGATCAAGAATGATCAATTAGAACCATCTGCACAAAAAGAGAACTTTATCATTACTGTCCATTTACGAATACTGACATTGACTTTAAGAATACTGGCCCTGGGAACAGAAGCTCAGAAACGGATATTATAGTCCATTATGTGAACATGGTGCAAGGTTGTTGCCGTTGTGTCGCTATCCCGCCACATGGTCATATAAAAAAGTCGTTCATCAAAATAAACATCAAAATTAAGATGCAGTTTATTTCCTACCGATAAAAATACATACAAAAACTTTATCTACATACTATGAGATGACCTTTAAATAGAGAGCCAACCATTTTCATCGTTCGAATGAATTGCGGGAAATGTCTTTTTTTTAGGCTTCATACGTATTGTTTTGACGTCATAATGCAAAGACGCCAACTCATGACAAAATGAATGCGGATATGTGTGTATTTGTGTGTCGACACCATAGTTGACCGTAAAAAGTACCGTATTTAAAAAAAAATATTTATATGTACCGCAATACAGGTATGGACTGTCCCATGTCAGGTGAAGAATGTGTCGAATTTATTCATGTTTGTAAGCGCCCACACACATGTTTGACCCCGCAACATTATATATGTGCCTGTCCAAAATCAGGAGCCTGTTATTCATGCAGTGGTTGTCGTTGGTTGATGTCTGTAATAATTGTTTCGTGTATTGCTTTGTCATGTTTTTCAGTTTGAATAGTTTCACATTTTGTCAAATCGCCTTTTTTCTCTGACTATACGGTATGGGTTTTGCTCATTGTTAAAGGGCGTACGGTGACATATAATTGCTTAAATCTGTCTCATTTGGACTCTGCTGGATAGTTGTCTCGTTGACAATCATACCTGAAATTTCCTTATTGTAAACTGCCCTGTATTTGTTCACTCGCAAGCTCAAAATCGTAATTTAGGTTTAAGGGTCCACAGTTTATTACTTGCAATGGATAGGTTTGTAAATAATCTACAAACAAACACAGAAGAGGAACATACATTTGTCAAAATAGACTTGATATAATTAAAGTTATCATAAAAGTTTGATAAATAACAAAAGCGGACAATTTCATGAATAATTTATTATGCCACTCGGTTAAACGGTCAGAGGAATTATATATTAAGGTTGTCATCATATTGTATGTAATTTGATTGTCCAATAAAATGTCAAACGACATAGATGTCACAAGGCAATTTTAATTTTACATTCAGTTATGCTACATGAACTTTAAAAAATTAAGTACACGTCAAATGGATGTTGTTACAAAACTCCGGACATCGGTAATTAAAAATACTTCCCCTTGTTTATTAACAGCTGAATCTACGTTAGTGTTTTGGTGTTTATACTACTATTTAACATGTGACAGACGAAAGTATTGTACTCTTTCACGTTCACTTTGTAATAGATCAGGTAAGTTGATTTTGCTCTCTAATTTAAAAAAAAAGTGTTTTCAACAAGTCTTATGGTTCTCTCCAGGCACTTCGGCTCCCTCTAACAAAAAAATTAAACAAACAACCACAATAATCATATAGCAAAGAGGGCTGAAAGTGGCATTAAACATTTATCAATCAATGTCGACTTTGCCTTATAGACTTATTGATGAGGGTTATACTTGTATTGTAGTTATTCAATCACTGTGTTTCGTATTTTCAACGATGAATATCAATTCCCTAATTTATAATAGTTTGAAGCAATACTAAGATATTTCTTTTTTCTTTTTTTTTTTTTTGTATAATCAGTTTTTTGCATTGCACAAGATCATGTCATTTTGTACTGTTGATAACGTTGCTGTGTGACATTTATATTTAATATGAGGTACAACAACCGAAAACAAGTGTAGGAAAGCAGGATTACTTATCTACAGGACAAGCAAGTAATTTAAGCTTGCTTTCAGTAACTGCGAGCATTCACATTTCTTTGAAACGATATAATTTGTTATTCGGAATATTGCATGTTAATTTAGAATGCAGCATTTTACCTTGCTGACTTTTATTTTATGTTATTTCATGTCCATTTTATGTTTCTACTTGTCGTATTATAAAGAAAAAGCGTGGTAGGTAGGGGGTTTCAAAAATATCGTTTAACCATGTCACATTTTCACATCCCACAGTTATTCCTCTCTGAAAGACAAAGACGGTTCAAAATGAATTGGAATTTTTTTGAATTAAATATTCAACAGAATAATTTGTTCGGTTTGGCTTCATCTCCTTCGTCTATTGTCAAACTGTATTTGGATTGAATGTTCCCATTCAGTTTGGGCATGTCAGTACTTGACTCCTTTCAATATCGGAGTCCGTTTACTTTAAGTGTGAAATTCAATATAATATTATTTGAACTTCTCACGGTAATTTCATCAGTTTGTTTTCAAATAGTTATGTAGTTTTTGTAATGACAAAATGTTTTTCGATTTAAATGAAGTTGTTGATCATTCGACCTTTGTAATGATAGAGCTTCGCTGTAGTTTGACATTCAAGGATGATCCTAATAAAGGATAATTAGTTTTATTACAAATGAAATAATATTCTTTATAAATTCATGTGTCTATTTCAGAAAATAAAATTCAAGATACTTCCAAGGATGGCATTACCTGTGTATGTACTCACAGTGGTATACATATTCAGTTTCGTAGGAAGATCTTTCGGTAAATATTATGTTTAAATAATGCTTTTGAGATAAATCCACTTTATTTAATTTGTGATATTTTGATGCATGATGAACATTAAGGAAAGGGTATTACGGGAGGGGGTGGGACGGGATAAGTTTTTCCTTTGGTTTTTCTAATATCATACAAGTTACACAAAGACCGGCTTTGCTTGTAATGTTTTACGATGTTTCCCGTAAAAATCCATCGTGACAGACATTGTTATATGCCGAGGGATAAATAGCTGCTAGCTTTATCAAACTATAGGTGAACCCCAATCTTCTTCAAACATTAATCGTAAAGTACTTAGATTTATATATTTTATTCACAAATTTGACCAAAATATATCAATAATTCGCCTATTTGACAAAAGTATTAGGAATACAAAAATAAGAAGAATGTGGCATGATTGAAAAATTAGACAACTTTACATTATAAAAGGTCCCGAAATTCAAACTAGAAAAATTAACGGCCCGATTTATGTACATAACAATAATTGCAAAACATGTATGATATAAAGCAGTATGTTAACCTTTTCAAAACATGTATGATATACAGCAGTATGTTAACCTTTTCAAAAGGTTCGGTGACATTAAATGAATAGGTAATGTATTTACTTTGACGTTTACTATTCTACCTGAACTTCATTTCGATGTGCACAAAGATTCGCATGATGATTTGGGGTTTGGAAAATATCAATGAGAAGGACATTTTAAAAGCTGAAAATGACTGTAAATAGTTTGCAATGTTGGTGACCCCACGACTTTTGATTGAATCCACGACTTTCGGTACTCGAGATGAACAAACTGCCACGAAACTAGAATGGCGGTTTCTTATATATTCATATGAACTAAGAGTATAACAACAGGAATTGGTCTTTTTCTAAGCTTCCTTAATAAAACTTCCACAGTAATTAGAAATAGCGATTTACTCAGGTTCCAGTTTGTGAGCTAGAATCGAAAAGTATATCATTGTATCAAAACTTTTTCCACTTACTGCAGAAATATTGCACTTACTTTTTAAACTAGCGATCCTTTAAATCTTTCAACTTTAATGAATTGAAAAACATTGTGCGAAAACATCCATTAGTTCTGTATCAGTAGAAACTGATTCATTAAAACTGTAAAAATTCTATTGTCTAGGATACAGAATAAGACTAGACTTTAATTAATTTTCCATATGTCAGTGAGACTTTATTGTATTGTCAGGTATAAAGAAAATTGAAATGAAATTATATAAGAACCAACCCAGCAACATAGAAAACAAATATAATCATATATAGATCGCCCGAACATTTGGCACGCACGGAATAATCCATAACAACAAATTCTTTAAATGACTTAATACCATTACATTTAATTAAAGACAGCCACTGCCGCAGTGTTGAATTGGATCAAGCATAGTAACAAAAGATACAATTGAACTTTTTATTGCGTCTTCAGTTATCCTCGTTAAGCTTTGATCGGTGAAATAGCAAATATGTATAGTTATATAGAAGAACGCTGAATGAAACTCAGCGTAGAAAAGGCACGGTTTTTTTTATTTCGGTATTACTGTCGACAAACACACGAACATGTAAAACAAAGATATATAACACCATCATAAAAATATGCTCACAATTGCTAACTAGTTGATATCGATGACATGCCTTATAAATTTCAAATACTAGCCAATGTACGTCCGAGCAGATTCCATACAGCAATGCCATTAACAGTTAGATAATTTCTTTTCATACCATCGAATGATTTGCTGTATATCAACATGTAAAAAAGCATTTGGTCATGGATTTCGACTGTATTTTGAACTTATATGGATATCAATTTGATTATAATGAAATTGCGGATTTTTAATTAGTTTATTAAAATTAGTCCTGCAACACAATCTGCCTTCAAGGCTTATTATAAGATTCAAACAGTCAATGTAATGGAGAACGAGCGCTCTAAAAAAATTAAATCATTGTTTCTTGTATTGTATGATATTTTACTTTTTGAATTTCTTTTTTTGTTAAAATAATTTGTATCTATTCAGGGAGGGGAAACTATGGAGACTGTATAAAGTATGCCGTGTGGGAAAACAAACCTGAGCTTACAAATGGTGACAGGTTTTGTTTAACAGAAGGCGATTCTGTGTATTGTAAGGAATTTGAGTGTCCTGTCACTGAGTGCGAACAGCCAATAGTTCCCGAGACAGATGGATGTTCTTACTGCAAAGGTTAGCTGAATATGCATTAACCCTTCAATTCTAATTAAGATTAGCTTCATAGGCAGGTGTCAATTATCTCTTCTTTATTGTATCGATTAATGCAGTCTGTAATAATTTTTTTCAAAAGGTGCTGTTGACGTAGTAGCCTAACACATATTGTAGCAATTTCATGTGATTAATGACAATTAGATTCAGCCAAATAATAAACTTTCTTACGGTATACACGTCATCTTGACATTACCAGAGAAGTTAATTAAGGACAAGACTCTATTTCTGAATAAATAGTGAGGGTCCTTCTTTCAGTAGTTAGTGCTATCAAACCCTTTTCATTTACTTATTACTGTATATTTTTTTAGATTTACAAAGGAAAAACAGTTTTCTTGTAAGAAAAAAACCCAAAATCGGGTTTAAAGGGATTATCTTCCCTGCATGATGCTTGTGAAAAATTTATAATATAAAAATAAGAAGATGTGGTATGATTTCCAATGAGACAACTCTCCACAAGAGACCAAATGACATGGAAATTAACATTTTTATGTCACCGTACGGCCTTCAACAATGAGCAAAACCCATACCGCATAGTCAGCTATAAAACGCCCCGAAAATACAAATGTGTAACAAGTCAGTCGAGAAAACTCCCGGCCTGATTTATGTACAAAATGATGAACGAAAAACAAATACGATAAATAGCAACAAACGACAACTACTGAATTACAGGCTCCTGACTTGGGACAGGCACATACAGAATATGGCGAGGTTAAACTTGTTTGAAAGCGCCAACCCTCTCCCTAACTTGGGACAGTGGTGTAACAGTATAACATAAGAACAAACTATAAAAATCAGATGAAAATGGCTTAACTCATCAGATCGACACGAAGCAAAAATATTTATTTACAAGTTTATTTACATTCGAACTACTAAAAGATTAACAGACGTCGATATTTTTACATTTATGTCCATTATTAAATTTCAATTTGCGTTGATTTGCTTTGTTCGTATTCGCAATTTTGTAGTAAAAAAAAAACAAACCGGACGTGGCAGGGTACGTATACATCCTAACAACAAAAATCCAGACGTGGCAGGGTACTTATACATCCCCACATAAAAAAAGACTGAAAGTACTCGCAGTTACTGACAGCTAGTTCAAAGCCAATAACAAGTAATAAAAAAGCTAGCATCTAAGACTAAAATATAATTCAGTACACATCCAACACTCAATGGATTAAGTATAAAGACGTCATCAACAGTCAGAGAAAAACATGACCTAGTGCAATGCCAAAATACAGGTATCGACAGATTGTAGAGCCATGAATGTGCATATGTATATAAAAATAATATTTAGTTTGATTTTAATTTACTGATAACAAAATCAATATTAATACCAATAAAAACAATATTCAAAGATTTAATTACAGTGTTGAATTAGTAACCTTTTAGAATAAGTTTATTTAAAGGATCGATAAGTTTACCCGGATCGTATCTAAATTTCTGGGCTCGGTAAACAACATCTCCGTGAAAATTAGGATTTGCTACACCGTTTAAAATAAGTTTTCTGCCGGAACCAAACTTCCAAATCAAATCTTTGTATCTATGGAAGAACTTAGTAAAAGTTTTAAGTAATTTGTGGTAACGAAATCCCTGACTTAATAATTTACCAGTAATACAAAGATTACGTTCATTGAAATGTAACAGACTGGATTCTGATGTGTATCGATCCAGGGTAATTTAGTGTTTAGACGGTGTTTTTTGTTAGTGCAAAATGTTATAGTAATGCAAATAGTAACTTGGTCACCTCATGTTTTCAAAATATTTAAACACTAAATTAATATACAATATTAGGTCAATGTCATAAACATATCAATTTTTTTTTATGTCGAATACAAAACAGTTTATATTTTTCTGACATTGACCTAATATTGTTGATATATTGCTGATGAAAATGGCTACACTTATCGTTATGAAAATGTTGAAATAAAAATAAAACGTATTTCCATTCCTAAACGAACTCCAAATTGTGAAATCGACATTGCACGAAATATCACTTTGTTACTATATTTGGTTGATGAAGACAACAAGAAGTATTCTAGCTGCAGTATGAAAAAATATTGGTGCTTTTTAAAAAACAGTCAATACTCAGAAAAAATTTGCAATGAAATGCAGGGTTTATCATATACTTGTTAACTTCAAGGGGGTTTTGACATGTAACCGTATGAATCTTTCAATGTTTAGGTGGTATTACACCTAAGGTTTTATTGGCAATTGGTAACACGTTACGGAGATAAGAAGAAATTAAAAACCAATTGTTCAGAGAACAATTGAAGGTATTTCCACTCTTAAAGATCTATTTTGAAATAGAACTATTAAAATTTGGTTTAAAATATCATATTCAGCGTCTAATGATAGTTTATTGTACACTGATTCCAAAAATACATGGTTTCTATACATTTTTTTCAAAATAAGGGAAATAAATTGTTACTTCCGGTTTGAAAGATGTCACTTCCGGTTTTATTTGATAGTTTACTTGATACTGATTCCAAAAATATATGGTTTAATATACTTTTACATTAAATAAGTACAAAAAATAGCTACTTCCGGTTTATACAAGGTCACTTCCGGTTGGCTTTTCCATGGTCAAGTGGCTTGCAACGTAATGCAAAAAGTCCTATGGCTTTATCACGTATACATACGAGGTAAAAGCAAAGGTCAAAATCTAGGACGTCAAATTTACCTATGACCTTTAGCTCAATTTCAAGGTCATAAACCGAGGGCTTCAAATCAAAAGACCATCATAGGTCTTAATTATATATGGTTAATGAGTTATATCACTTTACGCCTATTTTTAAACATAAGAGGGGAGAAAACTCCAATTTAATGTTAGCGTACCATTTCAACCAAAATTTATGTGTTACGACATGTCGCAACTTACAATTTAGTAAAAATATCTTGTCGATATCTTACACTTTTTAGCTCACCTGGCCCGAAGGGCCAAGTGAGCTATTCTCATCACTTGGCGTCCGTCGTCCGTCGTCGTCCGTCGTCGTCCGTCGTCGTCGTCGTTAACTTTTTACATTTTGAACTTCTTCTAGAGAACCACTGAATGGAATGGAACCAAACATGGCATGAATGTTCCTTATGAGGTGCTGACCAAGTGTTGTTTCTTTGTAGCCGATCCATTATCCAAGATGGCCGCCAGCGGGGGACTTAATTTAACATAGGACCCTATGGAAAATACATACAAATGTCTTCTTTTAGAGAACCAGTGAATGGAATGAAACCAAACATGGCATGAATGTTCCTTATGAGATGCTGACTAAGTGTTGTTACTTTGCAGTCGGTCCATCATCCAAGATGGCCGCCAGTGAGGGACTTAGTTTAACATAGGACCCTATGGGAAATACATACGAATGTCTTCTTTTAAAGAATCACTGAATGGATTGAAACGAAACATGGCATGAATGTTCCTTATGAGGTGCTGACTAAGTGTTGTTACTTTGAAGCTCATCCTTCATCCACGATGGCCGCCAGCGGGGGGACTTTCTTTAACATAAGACCCTATTGGAAATACATACAAATGCTTCTTCTAGAGGTGCACTGAATGGAATGAAACCAAACATGGCATAAATGTTTCTTATGAGGTGCTGATGAAGTGTTGCTAATTTGGCCTCACTCATTATTAGGGTATCTGTTATGATTTTAATCTATTTTAACATGATTTCCAAAACCAAAGTAGAATCAGGTGAGCGACACAGGCTCTTGAGAGCCTCTAGTTTTGAAAAGAAGTGAAAATAAGCCAAAATCAAAATTTAAAATATGACCTTGACCTCTGACCTTGACCTTATTTTCTTTTTTTCGGACCAAGGACCTCAAATCAAAAGATCCTAGGTCTCTATCACTTATGGTTTACAAGATAGAAATGCATATCACTAATAACAAACGCATAAGGGGAAATAACTCTCATCTGCAGTGTTCGTACTGCTTCGGTCATGCGAAAGATGTAACGAGCAATTTTATAAAATAAATTTGTCGCTTTCTTTTACGGTTACAGAGAAGATGCAGTCACAAGGAAAACAGTGTTCGGGGAGATAACTCCTACAAAGAAAATTATTCAGTTACGCAGGGTGAATTTCAAAGGCGCATAAACTGTTCGATATCATATATCAAACATCTAAGCGAAATCTTGCGTAACAAAATTTATACGCAAGTAATAAACGTGGCGGAAGAAGAAAAAAAAATAATAATCAGAACAAATACAATAGGTCTTTCCATCGAAAAGTGGAAAGACCTAATAATAATCAGAACAAATACAATAGGTCTTTCCACCGAAAAGTGTATTATATTGGCGGCGGATACACATTGTTGGATAAGCACTGATAGTCAAAATTTATACATTTATTATTTTTCTTAAAATATTATTCTATTCGCTGAATCAGACTACTCAGTGATAACCGATATATTAGTATAAGACATTTATTTGTTATAAGTAATTCGTTATACTATCATATTACATAATTTAGAAAATAATGTCTAACCCCGACACATATCTAAAATCAGTAGCCTTTAATTCAGTGGTTGTTTTGGGGTTTTTTTGTTTGTTTGTTTTTTTGTTTGTTTGAATTGTTTCACATTTTGTTATGTCGGGCATTTTATAGCGGAGACTAAACAGTATAAGTTTTGCTCATTGTTGAAGGCCATACAGTGACCTATAGTTGCTAACCTACGTCATTTGGTTTCTGGTGGAACGTTGTCTCATTCACAATTATACCACATCTTCTTATTTGTATAATGAAGGAAATCCGAATGGTCTAAGTGTTTCGGTACTGATCTCATGACATAATTTATAAAATAATATTCCTGAATTCTCCATTATAAATTAATATATAATTAAAACTGTTCTTGTCAGGTCCTTTTTGGTCCTACAGTTCCTCACGTAGTCCAGTATTTATGCGTCCTTGGCTTTCAAAATTTTGGATTTAACCGTTCCTGATGAAGATAAATTCAAAAGAGCGCTTCGGATGCACGTACAGTGGAGATCACTTCTAACCTCTCATCAAATCTGTCAGAATCTGTCAGGAGAACTGTTCTAGGACAGTATGTAGAACTGTCATCCTGACACCTTTTAGACAGTTCTAGCTAGAACAGTTCTAACCTAGAACTGATTTGGTCAGTTCTACCTAATACTGATTTAGACAGTTCTAACTAGAACTGATCCTGACAGTTCTACCCTAGAACAGTTTAAGACAGTTCTACGACTAGAACAGTTCTACGGCTAGAACAGTTCTACGACTAGAACAGTTCTACGATAAGAACTGATTTGGTCAGTTCTACGACTAGAATTGATTTATTCAGTTCTATCCATAGAAAAGTTTTAAGAACTCTGTGTCTTAAATATAAATAAGTCAAAAGAAAATATTATATATTTAAAAATTCACATCACAACACTGTTTTAACATTTCTCGTAACTGCAGTGACGTCATTTAGAACTGTTCTACAATCCTGACAGTTTTGGTCAGTTTAAAGGCTAGAACAGTTTTAGACAGTTCTGCTGACAGTTCTACGGTTAGAACTGATTTAGTCAGTTCTGCTGACAGTTCTACGGTTAGAACTGATTTGGACAGTTCTACCTAGAACAGTTTTAGACAGTTCTACTTTAGAACTGATCCTGACAGTTCTACTTAGAACTGATTCTGACAGTTCTACCTTAGAACAGTTCTACGGTAGAACTGTTCTAGGTAGAACTGTTCTAGGACAGTTTAGAACAGTTCTATGACAGATTATTCTGACAGTTCTAATGAGAGGTTAGAAGTGATCTCCACTGTAATTCATAAAGTTTTATTTTCATTTTAAGGTTAGTTTATTTCCTTTCACAGTCCCTAATTCGTGACACTCATTACGAATGGCGCTCATATTTAATTCACGAGCTACATTTAGTTACTGTTCTGTAGCGTTTAGTGTAATATTACTAATAATAATTTAACTGAAATAAAAAAAAAAAATACTTTGGAAATCGATATAAAAACTGTGTATCACATAAAACGTAACTGACGTTAGTTTATGAACTTGTTGATAAAATAATGCTTCAATTTTCGCTTTTTTCCTCGTGATCATTCTGTAATCATTCTTAAACGACTTTTATGGTATTTGATATTTATGAAATAATATAATTTAATCATACCTTATTTATATTCATTTTATAATTATGTAGACACATGTAGTTATGGAGGAGCCGTTTATCCAGTTGAACCAGGGTTTCTGATAGACTGCCTGGATGGATCCAACCGCTGTTCATGTGGCACTAATAACAGGATAGCATCTTCAAGAAGGGGAACAAATTCAAGATGGATGTGTTTAAAGAAAAGATCTTATAAAAGCTAACGATTCATGATAAATGAGAGAAAAAAAAATTAGAAAAAGGAAACTCTCAAGCTGTTTTTTCCTGTAATTGTTGTTTTCAAAGATAATAGGAAGAAAAATAAAGATTCTCGTGTATTCTTTTATGTTATCATTATATTTTCCAGATCGGTTAAAGGTAAGACATTGATTAGTTGAAAAAGAAAAGGAATAACATGTGTATCTTTATAGACCGTAAAGTCACTTCTCAGGCTAGATGTACTTTCCAAGTCAGTGTTAGTTTGTGTACTTTTCAAGTCAGTGTTGGTAAGTGTACTTTTCAAGTCAGTGTTGTTGTTGTGTACTTTTCAAGTCAGTGTTGGCTTGTCTACTTTTCAAGTCAGTAATGGTTTTTTGTACTATTCAAGTCAGTGTTGATTTGTGTACTTTTCAAGTCAGTGTTGGTTTGTGTACTTTTCAAGTCGGTGTTGGTAAGTGTACTTTTCAAGTCAGTGTTGGTTTGTGTTCTTTTCAAGTCAGTGTTGGTTTGTGTACTTTTCAAGTCGGTGTTGGTTTGTGTACTTTTCAAGTCGGTGTTGATTTGTTTACTTTTCAAGTCGGTATTGGTTTATGTACTTTTCAAGTCGGTGTTAGCTTGTTTTTTTTCAAGTCGGTGTTCATTAGTGTACTTTTCAATTCAGTGTTGGTTAATGTACCTTTCAAGTCTGTGTTGGCTTGTTTACTTTTCAAGTCAGTGTTAGTTTTTTGTACTTTTCAAGTTAGTGTTGGTTTGTGTACTTTTCAATTCAGTGTTGGTTTGTGTACTTTTCAAGTCAGTGTTGGTTTGTGTACTTTTCAGGTCAGTGTTGGTTTATGTACCTTTCAAGTCGGTGTTGGTTTGATGTCACATTAATAATTAAGCTAAACTGCTATTTTAAATATGCATACCAATGTGTCGGCATCTAGGCATAATTTCGATTACTGCCTAAGACACCTTATAACACAAAATTCACTGAAAATTAGAATAGGTATGTGAAGCTACAAATTATAAGAATTGAAAAGCAAGCTTTACTACGAATGATTTCGAAGAACGGATATCATAGCTTCCGAGGTAATGACCACCACTAAATTGCATTATTGATAGAGATATGTTTATCATCCAGTGGCAAATATTATATGTATATTTAGCATCTGCAGAGCTAGGATTTGTTTTTAAACGTGACTATGTTTTCTTCATATCTGTAAAAGTGAAATATGTAAACTACATGCACTAATTATCTGTAAAAGTGAAATATGTAAACTACATGGCTGCACTAATTTATACAGGTAAATGGTCAAATATCTGTAAAAGTGAAATATGTAAATTACATGCAATAATATATACAATGGTAAAATATCTAGGCATTTTTTTATGTGGGTTTCTGTTGTGTTCTGTTTTGTGTAAAGTTTTATTTTTCGTTTTTTGTCCTTTCGTCGTGTTTATTTTAAGTCCTGATGTTGTCTGTATTTATTGGACTTATGCTTTTCGAATTCCTATTTGTTATCTTCTTTGTCTATTAAACATAGGGCTAAACATAATATATTTTTACATATCTATACTACTAAAATAACGAGGTCCAATTTGTTAGCCGGTAAGTCGTAAAAGCGACGAATCAAAGAATTCAACTTTATATATAACTAATATATGGCAATGGTGTTAATTGAAAAGTACACCATTCCAGGCCATTTTGTTTTCCACATAATTAACATTACCAATAAATAACAAGTTTTTGGTCGAATCCCATACCGATACCAATACTATATGTCACATATAGTTTCTGGTAGTATAGTAAGAAAACCGCTTATTAGTATAGTGATGCCCAAGGATAATCTCTTTTTTTCTGATGAAGCACAAAGGGAATATCTCTTAATATAATGTAAGTGTAAAAAATGCAATTAAAAAAATCTCTTTTTTTTTAAAGATGCCCCAGGGGAATCTCTATTTTTTAACGACGTCAACGGGGAATATCTATGCTAATGAAGCCCAAAGGAGAACATATCTTTACTTAATGTCTGCTTATAATGGTACCCAAAGGAAATCTCTATTTTCTAATGATGCCCAAGGGGAATATCTCTTCGCATAATGTCGGTTTATAATGATGCCCAGGAGGAAACTCTCTTTTTCTAATGATGCCCAAGGGGAATACTTTTTTTCTTATGAAGCTCAAGGGGAATCTCTCTTAACACAATGTCTGTTGATAATGATGGCCAAGGGGAATCTCTCTTTTTCTGATTGCAATAATAAGTGATATGCTTGAAAGCATCGAAGGAGTAATCAGTTTTTTATATAACCTGTGACTATTGAAGTTAGAGAAGTTTCGCACGGTATTGGTACCTCTGAGCGTAACACGGCCTTACCAATAAAATGAGGATTTTGACGTTGTTTCAAAGAACGTTACAAGTTTTTGAATATGTAAAAATATCGCTTAAAGTTACCGTAGAATTTACATTCTTCTAATAAGTATTCATTTTGCAGGGATTTTCGAAGTTGCTTTATTAAATATTTTCAATTTTTCATCCTGGATTGGTATTAATAAATGCAAACATTGATATCCAAATTTCCAAAGAATTAAAAAAAGAAATAAAAATTGGTTAAAGGTGATCAAGTTTTGAAGCAGTATTTATTGTCTACCATTGACGAAAAAATGGCGTCATAGACGTTTTTAACAGTGAGTGAAATAAGACTTTTAGAAGCATTGTGATTTGGAAGAGAAAAAATGTCCAATCTACCTGCTCAGCTCATATAAAAACGTTCTGCTATAAGATATAAGAGATGTAAGTAGCTTTTAATAATATCAGAAAATTCATACATGTCCCAAAGAAGCTAAATGCAGTTACCACTATATAACTGCGTTCTTACTTTCAAAACATTGTTTTCCCGTGTTCAATAACATGTCCCGATGGACAAAATGACACATAGAATAATTCGGAGGCTGTTTATTAAACGAAATTTCATTTGACCTCCAATTATTAACACCTTTTTAGCTAGCCTGGCCCAAAGGGCCATGTGAGATTTTCTCACCACGTGGCGTCCGTCGTCCGTCGTCGTCGTCTGTTAACTTTTACAAAAATCTCCTCTGAAACTACTGGGTCAAATTTAACCAAACTTGACAACAACCATCATTGGGGTATATAGTTTTTAAAATGTGTCTGGTGACCTCTCCTGCCATCCAAGATGGCTAAAAATAGAAAATAGGGATAAAGTGCAAGTTGTGTCTATTCTTTTAAAAACCGTTATAAATAGAAAAAATCTGACAGGGGCAAAAACGTTCAGAATGTTGAGGTCTACCATGATCTCTGCCAGACGACTTCTCATAGGAGTTATTGCCCTTTAATGTCAAAGTTTACCATTTTTTTTTTCATTTTTGCCTATTATCTTGAAAACTATAATAGACACTTTAAATCACAAAAATTATTAGCAAGGCAAGATCTACTAACAAGTCATTTTTTGCCGATATAGTTAGTAGACTGTCACTCTTCATAGGAGTGATTGCCCTTAAATGAGGATTTTTTACCCTCTTTTGTGTTGTGAGCAAAAACTAAAGAAGATAGAGCGAAACTAAACAGACTAAGTGATCAACAATACAAGATCAACAATACAGAGATTTTTGTCATGAATTCAATTCTCGTCTACAATGTTGGAGAGTGTCCTTTGTTGAATATTCACATAGACCAAGGTGAACGACACCGGCTCTTTAGAGCCTCTAGTTTTGCTGATATGAAGGGAAACACATTAAATTTCCTCTAAAATGATAAGATATGTATTTTTTGTTTGAGCTGCAGGTAGAAAATATGAAACGATCTAATATGTCTTAAGACATGTCCCCATAACAGTAATTTGACGTCCACGTCGTGATAACGCTAAACTGTACATGACTTTTCTTGCATATTTGGCATAAAATTAATTTCATGAAATGGTCTGATATATTTAAAATAAAATGCTTGTTTAATATGCAGTAGATCTGCATTGTATAAATAATCAAAGATGACGAAATATTTAGCTCAGATACTTGATAAAGATCAGGCTCCGGGAACACAAAAGTGAGAAAAGTTTACATATAATTGCCGTCTCATTTTTAGAAAATAAATAAACAGTGAAAATGAAAATGCAATCAAAATCAAGCTAAACACCCTTAATTCCTAGCATTGCTATTAAATGAATCGTAACTTTACATATGAATCAAATTTTGTTTAGCCAATTTGTAGAGCCGTTATTGTGTTTCCATTCTTGCATTCTAAGCTACGTGTGATAGTACAAATATAAAAATGTCTGAATTCACTGTGAGAAGAACGATCTCTAGTCATCTGCCTGGCATCATGTGTATGAAAAAGGGGGTTATTACTTCTAGAAGCAATGCGTTGCAGAATAGAGTTTGTTGTTTCGAATCCCCAACATAATTGCTTGTTAGATAGGCATGCGATGTGAAGGTATTCACATTGTAATTGAAACTTGTCTTTAACATTAATTTAAGAGAGAAAAAAAGCAATTATGCGCTCAGATTTAGGGTAATAGTTGTCCGACAAAATGATGGATTGCACGCACATATGTAGCAGGCTCCGGTGTATTGTTTCACAGACACTCCCAATATTACTCTATTTAAAAGCTCACTTTCGAAATTATTCACTGTGCACTCTATCGCACACCTTCCGAAATTCATTTCTTTCCATATTTTGGAAAGCGTATATTTTGCGGGAAGTTTAATATTTACATACCGGTTTATAACCAATGTATAGAAAAAATAAGCGAACATATCAATTAGTAATAAATATACTACATTGAACACGCTGTATGTTTACCAGTCACTGATCCACAAAATGTCTGCTTTGTAGATCGGATGTTTTCTCCGGTCACTCCGGCTCCCTCCATCGATAAAACTGGCCGCCACGAAAAATTGCCAATAGTGCTGAATGTTGCGTTAAACACCAAAAAATCTGCTGTGTGTAAATGTTCCATGGTTTGTGTATAATAGATCTGGGTTTTTTTTCCTCTCCTCAGAACGTCACAAAACATGGCTGGAAATTATAGTTATATTATACTTGTTTAAACAAGGTTACTGAAACCGAAAACCCGATGATAACCCGTTTGAAAACGATCCAAAAATCTATAAACAAGATACCCT